AGCCTTGATTTGCAATATTGAAGGTCTCTATAAGCAAAATATTGAATGATGCAAAAAGCATCAAAAGAATATGGAAGGAACACACAGTCACTGTGCCAAAAACAAATGTTGGTCAATGTTCACCAACAGTACTATAAAAAGATCAAAAGCAGAAAAAAAAAAAAAGGAAAATATTAAATACATGAATAGGTCTTTTGTTTCAACACCTTACTGAAAAAGCTTTTGGGTAATAGAAGAAATTTTAAATGATGACATTAAAGAATTCTACCAAATTTTTAAATTATTATAATCAAGTAAGAATGAAAGCACAGCATACCAAAACCTCTGGAACACAGCAAAAACAGTGTTCAGAGAAAAACTGATAACAATAAACATACACATCAAAAAAGAAGACAGGTCCAAACTCGATAACTTAACCTGACAACTTGAACAAACATAAAAAGGACAGCAAAAGAAGATCACAGTTACCAGAAGAAAGGAAATAATAATGATAAGAGCAGAAATAAATGAAATAGAAAACAGAAAACCAATAGAATTAATAAAACAGAAAACCAATAGAATTAATCAGTTGGTTCTTTGAGATGATTAATAGAATTCACAAACCACTGGTCAAATGGGTAAAGCATGAAAATGAGAAGGTGAAAACTGAGAAGTGAAATGGATCACATTACAACAGAATCAACTGAAATAAAGAGGATCTTACAACATGGATGAATCTGGAGGACATTATGCTGAGTGAAGTAAATCAATCACAAAAGGACAAATATTGCATAGCCCCACTATTGTAAAAAGTCAAGAATAGATACACAGAGAGAATACAACATTCTTTAATGGTTACCAGGGATGGAAGGGAAAAGGAGAGGACAGGTGGAATCACTTGTCATTTGAGGTAATGGAAAAAAAAAATATCAAATAAGGATAAAGCCCACACAACTTGACCAAGGTAAATGAAGACCCTAAGAATTACACATAAAAAGGGGGAATTTTCAAGAAACGTTATATAATATACACAATTTTATAGCAACAGCAATAGCAAGCAAAAAATATGTATGTGCTTATATAGGTAGATACTGGAGAGGAAGGCACACACAGTAAATGCATGTGCTTATATAGGTTTATCTGTAGATATAGGTACATATATGTTTATGTGTGCTTCATATATATCTATATATGTAATAAAACAGAAACTTCCTAGACTTATTCAAGCAACTTATAGGATTGATTTAATAATTTAAAAGGTCATTGTCTAATGGGACAACTTAGTCAATTGGTATAGCATAGTTCATAGATATGTTCTACATCCTAGTTTGGTGAGTAGCATCTGAAGTCTTAAAAGTTTTCCAGTGGCTATATAAGATACAAATGTTGATTTGTACTCATCTGGAGCAAAACACTTAAAGAAGATTCTCGTTCACATGAACCACAGTCTCTTCTAACTTGAGACCAGAAGAACTAAATGGTGCCCAGCTACCATTCCTAATCGTTCCAACCAGGAACACAATACAATGTCCCAAATAGAACAGGAGAAAAACGTGCAACAAAATTCAAATTACAAAAAGATACCAGACCTAATGGACTAATATAAACTAGAGGAGTCCCCAAAGATTATCCAGAAATCGAAGCTATTTCTGGAGGTCATCTTTCAGCCAAACAATGGTTTATGACATTCTTAAGTAATGTGGTCTCTTAAACAATCATATTTGAGACCAAACAGTCAACAGAAACAAAGGTGAGAAGGCAAGGAAGAGATGGAAACCTATACTAATGGAAACGGAACAAACAAAATGGAAATAATGAGAATTCTGACACATTTTCAATATTAAAACTAGTATCATGGGACAATTTATATATGAGAAGTTCAAAAAGTTCTTGGAAAAATGGAATTAAGAGATAGTAAAAATTTTCCATGAACTTTTTGAAGCCCCTTCATAGGTCTATTTTGGTTTCTAAAAGTAGTGTTTTGTAGTTTTCTTTGAATAGGTCTTTTGTTTCTCTGGTTAGATCTATTTCTAAGTAATTAATCTTTTGAGTGGTTATTGTAAATGGTATTGTTTTGTTGATTTCCTTTTCAGAGTTCTTTCTTACCATAAAGGAATCTGACTAATTTTTGTTAAGTTGATCTTATACCCCATCACTTTGCTGAATATTTCACACTTCCATTAATTTTCTTGCTAAGTCATTGCTTAGCTAGATATTTTTAGTTCTTGTACACTGCACTAACTAAAGTAAGTTAGAGGGAACTTCCATAACATTAAATGTTTGCCTTTCCCTACTCATTATTCAAAAAGTCACCAAAGGTGGAATTTTTTGTCAGGTCAAGGCAATGAAGAGAATCAATGTGAGGCACAAATGCTAATGAGATAATGATGCTTAGACAAGCTTGTGATTCAGGAGCTTTTGATATGTTTTATGCTGGGTCACCTCTAAGGTTTGGTTAGAGGAGACTCCAGAGGTGAAGACAAAAGAATGAGTGCACCTGGATAAATGCCCTGGTTCTTTTCTTTTTCTCCACAGGGGGCTTGGCCTCAGTGATTTACACAGATACCCTCCAGACCTTCATCATGCTCATAGGCTCCTTTATTCTCATGGGGTTTGGTAAGTAGATTAAGACATACGATAGCATTGTGAAAGCAGTGCTCTAGGCTGGGAATCATGAGATGATTTTTCTGCTCAGTCTATCTCTTTACTCACTGTCTTCCAGTTCCATCTGGTTTCATTTTCCAACGATTTATATAATTCCTATCATTGAAACTCTTCTGATTCCACTCTTGCTCTTCTATCTCAGCGTGAGAAAAATGGGGCCCAGATTAGAATCGGGTTAACATTTAGGCCTTTGAACCATTTTGAGTTAGTTTGTGTATATGGTATGATGAATAGGTCCTGTTTCATTTTTCTGCTAGTGAATATCCAATTTTGCCAGCATCATTTATTTTTTTAAAAAAACTGTTTCTTCCCCCATTGAATGGATTTTGACTTCTTGTCAAAAATCAGTTGTTAAAAAATGAATGGATTGTTTTCTGGAATTGCAACAACTTTATGTTTCTATGAATGAACCAATATCAGGTTGTTTTGAATGCAGAAATTGTACAGGATGTTTTTATATTGGGGAGTATGAGGCCTCCTACTTTGTTCTTCTCCAATATTGCTTTGGCTATATGGGACTTCTTCCCTTTCCATATAAAGCTGATCATTCATTTTCCATTTCAGTAAGTAATGTTCTTGGTATTTGTATTGGGATTACATCGTATTTGTAAATCATTTTAGGTGGTTGTGGTATAGTGAAATATTTAATGTCTCTTCTATAGTTTGTGACCTATTGGATCTGGGTAAGAGAAGGTAGGAGAAGATAGGATGACATGATTCAACTGTGGATGTTAGCAGAGTTCATTGTAAATGTAAATTTTTGAAACACTAGTATGGTTATAAAATGAGCCTTCTCAGAAGCAGGAGTGGAAATCTCAACTGTCAAAGAAGAGCCAGGAGTGAAGTGTGTCCTTTGGACCTCCTCAACCCAGGGACAAAAACCTGTAACACTGGAGGAGTAGCAGCAAAGCTGCGGCACCAGAACCAAGAACCAGAGCATGAGACAGAGCAGTAGACTTCCCAGTCTATGGAACAAGTAAAGCTGAATGATTTTGGGCAGGAAGCTTACTTTTAGAGTGAGGTGCCTCCAGGCACTTAAGTGGAGGAGCTAGGTTTGCTGATCCACAGAGCTAGAGCTGAGTGACTTCAGGCTGAGGCTTATGGTGGAGTGGTGTGCCCTATGGGCATTCGTCAGAAGCTGACTAGACCAGTGACCTGAGCATTTCTGACCACAAACTGTAGCCTGTTATCTTCCCTATTAAATCCCATAACTCTGAGTATGATGTCTGAGTAGTGTGTGACCACTGCAATAAATTATCAAAACCAAAAGAGAAGTAAAGAGTGCTGTGGGAGGAATGGTTGGTGTTCTGCATTTTTGCAATAGTATTGATATTTTCACTATAAAAAGACTTCCAATTCATAGGTATAAAGTCTTTCCACCAATCTTCTGTCAGTTTGTCATACTTTAGTGACTTGTGTGTTGCTGTGATGCTAGAAGCAATGCCATCGGTATTTTAAATACCAGCAGGAAAACCCATGGTGGACAAGTTTCAACAGAGCTTCAAGATTAAGAGAGACTAGGAAGAAGAAGAGGCAGACTACTTCTGAATGTTTAGCCATTGAAAATCTTATAAATAGCAGTGGAATTTTGTCAGAGATAGTGCCAGAAGATGAAAACCTTATTAATAGCACCAGAATATTATCAGATATAGTGTCAAAAGATGAGCCCTCAGATTGGAAGTCACTCAAAATACAACTGGGGAAGAAATACGTCCTCAAAGTAGAGTTGATCATAATGATGTGAAAACCAAAAAGGAAGAACACACTCAGCAATTCTCAAGCTGAGGGAACTGAAGGAAAAATTCAAGCCTTGACTTGTGATATTGAAGGATTCTAGGGAATGTTACTTAGATACCTCCAAATGATTGACAGAAAGGTCAAGGAAAACAAA